TATTGCTAAGAGATGAAAGGAAGCTGGGTTCCGGAGGGAGGGGGGTTGGAGAATGTAGCACGGACACATTAGAAGGGGGACGAGGAGGGGAGGAGCAGGGGATCTACTGCAGGAGAGAGCCAGGGGAGTGCGGAGAAGGAACAACAAGGAAGGCAGCTTCACGGAGGGAGGGAGAGCGACGAGGGCAGGTTCATGGTGGTGGAATGTGGAATGCTCTGGCCTCCCTCTGGAATGCTGACCCTTAAGTGGATGCTTCACCCACGTGGAATGTCTGTGTTAGCAGCCAACCTGAGCCGATGAGGCCTGGTCCTACAAGTTACCTCCCATGTCATTCATTCATCCCTGTGCTTGGTCAGGTCAATACACAAATACTCCCATGAATAGGTGATAGCCTTGATTGGGACGTTCCCTCCCATGGTGCCGATTGCATCCCATCCATTCCTTCCCCTAAGCTTGACACAGGGGCTCTACCCAAAAGTCTGGAGGCCTGTCTCCATCTCTCTCAATATTCCAACACTGAGAGAGCACCAGTCAAGTCCTCTGGCTGCCCACCTTCCATCCCTTGCTTTCTATCTTTTCTGCTGGGGACCATCTCTGGTCATTCTGACCTATATCTTGCCACTGGACCCAGACGGCTCTGGGAGAGAAAGTGAACCTGCCCAGCCCACCCTCACTTGAACCCAATTAATTTGCAAATCATGGCATCATCTTCCTGATGTCACGTCCTCTTTGAAAATGAAGGACAGACGACAACATATTTTCTGCCTATCCTGGATTTTCTTTATAACATTCTTTCCCCCTGTTCTTCTTGGGGCAGAGATGGTTGCGTTCCACATCTTGCAGATAGTAGCTGTCAGATCTCAGTATCAAAAAGACAGGCGGGGGGGGCAGCAAGGTGGAGCAGTGGATAGAGCACCAGCCCTGGATTCAGAAGGACCTGAGTTTAAATCCGGCCTCAGACACATAACACTTACTAGCTGTGTGACCCTGGACAAGTCACCTAACCCCATTGCCTAGCAAAAAAACAACCAAACAAAAAAAGATAGGCTTCCCAAAGAACCTAAATGGAGGTGGGAGGCCATAGGTGTGGAACATCGCATATGATGTTAGACTCAATATATTGGCTAGTGGTGCTGAACTTTTTTTGTTTACTCTGTTTTTATTTATTATTATAAAGGCTGGTAATCTGCGGAGGGTTCTAGAGGGAAATATAGGTGTTATAAAAAAACAAAATAGCAAAATAATAAAAACAGTTTTAAAAAATGTAAGTCTTTGCCTCTGGGAGAAGGATGAGTTTTTTAATGGAGCTTTGCAGTGTCCTGAAGGTGATCCAGTCTGCTCTCCTCTCATTTAATTATTATATAAAAATGACAGATATATATCATATATATGCCTTCAGTATATATCAATATGTCAAGATATATACTGCATACATAGTATTTATATACACAGTGTATATATGCACTGTACATGGCATGTCTATACACAATATACTCCTGTAACATGTGTATGTGTATGCAAATACATGCCACATGTATGACACCAATTGATGCTACTAATACATTAGTATAAGTTAAGGTATATATTATACATTCATATACATAAACACACTATGACTATGTATACAAAACCCAATAGAATACATAATGTGTTATGTATAACATATGTTATACATATGTAAGTGTGCCACATGTGATGTTAATACATATAATTTCAATATATCAGCACATGTCAAGGTATATGCTGCATACACACATATTTAGTGTATATATACATGGTGTGTGTATATATACATATATGTGGTGTGTGTATTTATGCACCTATGTATGCACACATAACATATTTTATTGTTATTCAGTCATTTTCCAGTCATGTCTGACTCTTCGTGACCCCATTTTGGGGTTTTCTCAGCAAAGATACTGAAGTGTTTTGCCATGTCCTTCTCCAGCTCATTTTACAGATGAGTAAACTGAGGCAAACAGGGTGAAGTGACTAGCCCAGGATCACACAGCTAGTAAGGGTCTGGGGCCAGATTTGAATTCAGGAAGACACGTATTCCTGATTTCAGGCCCAGCACTCCATTCACTGCACCATCTGCATATATCTGGATGTTATATACATATGTGTTTACACATAAAATAGTATGTGTGTGCATGTATATGTATATATATAGATCTATTCACACCGTATAGTGTTGTATGTGTATATGTACATACCCATGCACACATATATGTCATCAAGAAATATTAGTATATGTCAAGATCTATATTGTATGTATACATATACAGAATATATACACCTTCTGTATACGCATAATGCGTGTATGTGTAGATATAACACATTATGTACACACATAAAACATACATGCATGTGCATACAGACATACACACATACCCTCACCTATACTTTTACCTGCACGAACACATATGGATATACACGCATGTGTGTGTGTGTGTGTGTGTGTGTGTGTGTGTGTGCGCGCGCACATGTGCACTGATGTGCCAGCTCTACAGGGCACCCATCTAAATACATGCTGTCATCACATAGAAATGTAAGGATCAAATACAACACGCTCGCTGCCCTAGAGCAGCTTCCATTGATTCAAGGCGGTAGTAATTACTTAATAATAGTTAATATGTCCATAGCACTTCCAATGTGTCAGGCATGTGCCAAGCACTTTATAACTATTGCCTCATTTGATCCTCACAACAACCCTGGAGGTCAATGCTGTTATGACCCCCATTTTATAGATGGAGAAACTGAGTCAAGCAGAGGTTAAGTGATTTGTCACAGAAGAAGTAAGCATCAAAGGTAGAGTTTGAACCCAGGCCCTCTGACTCAACCCAATGGTTTTCCCATTGTACCAGACTTCCTCTTTTCTTTTTTAAAAATCAGAAGCCTCAGAGTACCTGCGCTGAATGATATTCTGAGAACACTGGAGATACCTGGAGGTCATCTAGTCTAACCTCCCCATTTTTTTTTTAGAAGAGGGAATTGGGGCCCAGATGGGGGAAGGGACCAACTGGAGGCAGAAAGCCTGCTCTGGCATTAACTCCCACCCTCTGTCCTCTTTTCTTTTCCTTTGCCCTCCCCTGTTCTTCGCTCCCCACAGCTCCCACATCTAGTTTCATTCTGGCTGGACGTGAATTCACTCAAAAACCATTTATTTGGGCCCTTAGTGGAGGTGCCTGTAATCCTGGTCCAACTCTGGACTGGATGTTTTTCATTCCTGGGCTTGATGCTGGGGCCAAACTATTCTGTGTCCCAGGACAGCTCTGGAACCCAGCTTAGGCCTTCCTCATCTCCAAAACCAGACTGACCAGTGCAATCATTCCTTCTATCTTCACTGTGTCTGTGATCTCACTGATGTGAGTCCTGTCTCCACAACCGCTGGAGCCATCTCCTCCTCAGAAACTCTTGCCTGTATCTTCCCAAAATCATCCTCAGGGATCCACCCAACATGTTGAGGGGCTTCCAGAGTCTTAATATTGTCTGGGTCCCAACAGAGCATGATGGCGGCCCATCAGCCATCCCACTCCGCCCTACTGGCCCACTTCCTCTTCCTCTTTCCAAACCTTTGTAGCCAGCATTCCATTGTCTATTTGTGCCCACTGTGTCTTTTGCTCTTTGGGTGACTTTAATTCTTCACGGCTCATAGCATCAGTGGAAAAATATCAATGTCCAAAAGAGAGGTCTTTGTTTCTGAGAGAATGTAGAGTTACTAAAAATGCTGCACAATTCCCCCAAGCAAGCCAAGCCCACCTCTTTTCCTCCTGTTCAGTTCTGGGTCCAACAGAATGGTCCGTTTGCAGCATCTGTCCAAAATACACCAACTGAAGGGTGATGACCCAACTCTTTGGGTCATCCAGCCAAGATCATATCATGGCCTGGATGATAGGCTTTCTTCACTTGCTTGGTTTTTCCTGTGTTGATAGTCAGGCTGGACTCTTTTGAGTGATTATGGATCTCAACTAGAGCTTGGATGTAATGTAAGCCACGTAAATGTTTGAATGGAAATTCCTTGAAGGCAGACACAATTTTGTGTTTTGCTCTTTCTGTCCCCAGTTTAAACTGTTGCACTGGCCAGCACATTAGGATATTTAATAAGTGCTTGTTGTATTCCACTGAATTAGGAGGCTCTTACTAAGAGCTAACATTGATATGGGTCTGATCTGGATTTCCAATTCCTCCTCTGACATTGGCTGTGCGACCCTGGATGAGTACTGTAAGGACCCAGTGCTCTAGGCAACTCTATTACGTTGCTGAGAAGGTGCTGAGCTGCACTAGGTGAGGAGAGGAGTCCCCAGTTCAAGGAATTCAGAGGCTAGTCCCTACTTGGAACATTTATAGAGGGCTTTGGAGTTTACAAAGCACTTTAATGATTATGAAATGTTTACCATTCACTTTACATACAATCTCACCCAATCCTCTCAACTGTCCTATGAGGTAGGTACTGCCATTACTCCCACTTTATAACTGAGGAGACTGAGGGCCAGAGAGGCTAAACTAAGGTTACATAGCTAGTAAGGGTTGGAGTTGGGATTAGAACCCAGGTCTTCCTAATTCTGAGTTCAGCCCTTTCTTTGCTGCAAGAGGCTGCATTCTCTCTCTTCCCTCAGGACTTTGATGCAATTGGCACAAGATGCCAGAAAGGATTTTGGGGATTGCTTAAGAGGAAACTTGTCCTTCTTTCTGACCCTCAGGGAAGCTAGGAATTGAACTCTTCCTTATAACAGCTGGGGCCTTGGGGCAGGGCAAGATAGGCCACCAAGTGAAAACTCTCACCTATAGTTCCCATCTGTTTGCCCCCAGTTGGTCCCATCTATCCCAACCTGGTTAAATTGCCTAACAACTTGGTCCTACTGGAATGGGGGGTTTTGATAGGGGGAAAGGAAGGAGAAAAGTGTAGAGAATGGTGCAATTTAGGAAGAGAAGACCAACTATGAGATGAAGGGAGAGAAGGGAGTCAGGAGAAGGCAAGGTACCCCAAACAAACTCACCTTCCTTTTACAGTGTTATTAGGTCCTCGTTTCCTTGACTTGAATCACTGCTGCTGGTAGTGAGGATATCAGAGAGGCAGCCTGGTATGGTGGAAATAATGCCATATTGGGAGTTAGAAGTCCTGGGTTCTAATGCTGCCTCTGACACTTCCTACTCATGTAACATTGGCCAAGTTACAGTGACTAAGCAAAACCTTGGTCCCAGTTAGAACTGTTTTTCATCAGTGGAATGGGCTGCCTTCGTTGGCAGCAGACTCTCACTGGCAGGCTTTAAGCAGAGCTTGGATGGCTCCTCCTCAGGTATTTTGTGGAGGAAATTTCTGCTAGGGGACACTTTGGACTGGATTTTGACAGCCTTTACGAGCCTCAGGTTTCCAATTTGTAAAATGAGGAATGGGCTGAACAGCCTCTGAAGTCTGTTTCAGTTCTAAAGCTATGATTCCTTAACCTCTCTGGGCCTCAATTTCCTCAGCTGTAAAATGATGGAGTTGGACTAGAGGGCCTCCCAGGTTCTTTCTAGCTCTGGATTCTATGAGGACTGAATGGACTGGCCCATGGTCACACAGGGAGTAAGCAGCACTAGATTCTTCCTCGTACCTATGGCTTTTCCCGTTCTGTCCAGGGTCTTGAGGCCCTGGTTGACTGACCCCTTTTCTCCAATAAGGCCAGATCCCTTGCAGGCCTCCCATCTCCTACACCTGACGCATTCAGCCCATAGTTCCCCGGAAGAGAAAGCCTCCCTTCTTGTGCAACCTCCTCGCTGCCTTTCACCTTGATCCAGGGAAACACTTCCCAATTCTTCGTCTCTCAATTCCAACAGCTTTCCTCAGGGCTGGAGTGAAGGGAGGAGGAGAAAGGGGAAAGCTGATTGGCCATCACTGGACAGTCAATGTCCCTGGAATTCAGGAGCTGTTGTTGTTGTGTGTCGATTCAGGGGTGCAATGGGCCCAGCCGGTGGCTCCAGGGAAACAGCCGGCTCCTGGGAGAGGAAGGGGGAGGAGAGGGGGGCTGGCCTGGAAAGCATAATCTCTGCTAGTCCCTCCCCTTCTTCTCTCATAAAAAGGCAGTCAGAGGATCAGAGATTGGAAAAGACTGGAAAACTCAACCGAGCCACCCTGTCAACTGTTCCGCTCTCCTTGATATCACCCTGCCACCTAAGTCCTCGGCAGCCCCGAGAAGGGTTACGGTCTTTGTCTAGTGGGCCTGTCCCAGTGCTGCTTCTTGAGGACACTGCTTCAGCTTTTTGGACACCGCTAGGTCAAGTGCAGCTCTGCCTCCCCCCCCCCCCAAGAAGTCCTCCTGCGCCTCTACTTCAAGAAGGCTCCAGGTGAGTGAGTCACTCAGTCAGTTCATTGGGTCTCCTCTTTACACACTTTGCTCTATCCCACTGAAGGGGTAGCAGCCCTTGTGTTCTTCCCATTGTGTTTAATGCTGCTGGTGGGTAGTGGGGTATAGTGAGGGGGACTGGGGGAGCCAGGGGCTAGAGGCTGCCGGGGATAATTGGTGCTTAGCACCTCCAGTTCCCAAGACCACCAAAGCTTTTAACTTTTCTAATGTCATGATCCCTTTGGCAGTTGGGTGAAACCTGTGGAACCCTTCTTAGCATCGTGGTGGTTGTCATTTTTTAAAATTCATAATTGAAGGAAATGTTAGATTTCAGGTAAAAGTTGGTGAAAATAAAGATGTAATTGGTTCCCCATTCCCATTCATGGACTGCTTGAAATTTATCCGTTGGGCCAAGGGATGTGTTAAGAACTCGTGATGTAGTCCAACCCCCTTATCTTACAGATGAGGAAACAGAGACTCAAAGAAGGACAGCGATTTGCCCAAAGTCCCACAGCAAGTTAGTAGCTGAGCTGAGATTTATACCCAATTCCTCTGACCAGTATTGGAGCCCACTTAGACCACTGTGCCTTAGTGCCTGGCATGTGGTCAATGCTTAATAAAAGTTTGTTGATTGGATCAAAGGTACTTCCTTTCCCAGCTCTCCTTACACACACACACACACACACACACACACACACACACACACACACATGCACACACACACACACATGCGTGTGCGCGCACTCTTGGATGATGTAAGGATCCAAGTAATAATAGAATATCAGATTATGCAGAACTCTGACTAAGAACAGGTGTTATTTCCTTATTCTCCCTGAAGCCTGGAAGCTGCTTCTCCATGCATGAAAAATAGCTACTGGCCCCCCTACTTTCCCACTGCCCCATTTCCAGACAGCTGTTTCTGGGTCTGAGCTTCTGGATTCCTGAATTTCTGTTAGTCCCCGATTCTGGAGACCCATCTTCTGGTCCTCCACCAACTTCTTTTTTCTTTTCTTTTCTTTTCTTTTCTTCTTTTCTTTCCTTTTCTTTTCTTTTCTTTTCTTTTCTTTTCTTTTCTTTTCTTTTCTTTTCTTTTCTTTTCTTTTCTGTAAGGCAATAGGAATTAGGTGACTTGCCCAGCTAGTAAATGTCAAGCATCTGAGGCCAGATTTGAACTCAAGTGCTCCTGACTCCAGGGCTGGTACTCTATCCACTGCGCCACCTAGCTATCCTCACCAATTTCTTTCTAGCACTCTTCACCCTAGGAGTCTGGGGTTATTTGGAATTGCTTTCCTTGGCAGTCTGGGGAAATGCTAAATTTCCATTAGAGGTTGGTGAAAATAAAGATTTCTTCTCCAGGGAAAAAGAAAAAGCACCCTACTTCAGGGCAAGAGACCTTGTAGTAGCGAGGAATGTCTGCTGGCTTAGGTTTCTGAGTACCTGTGTTCAAATCCTGCCCCAGATATTTACTAGCTGTGACAAGTTATCTAACCTCCCGAGGTCTTAGTTTTTTTTCATTTGTAAAATGAGAGGTGCGGCTTAGACAGTCTGAGGTCTCTTCTTGCTCAAATCCGTAATGCACACATTTTTGTTAAGCTCTGGGCCCAGTGCCGACTCCCCCCTCATTTCAACGACAATGCAGCCATTGGCCATGGCCATGTCAAACACACCCTCAGAACAGCCTTTTTTTCAGGCAACTTCAACAACTGTTAAGTGATTAACTGCAAAGGGGGAGGTACGGAGATTATGAACCCTCTTGGAGCTACGATCTTGGATGTATGGATGATTATGAAGTATTGGTTTCCAGTCCATAGAAGTGAAAACCAGGAGCCATTTCAGGCTTCTGCATCCCCTTGGGATGAGATCACCACTATTGCCATATCTTTGCATAATGAATTTCCCCATTGTAAAGCCAGTTTTGATAGGAATTGGTGGCCACAGGCAAAGAAAGGGAAAAAGCCTGGAGGAAGGGAAGGAGCAAGGTGGGAGAGAGTGTTTTATGTAAGACCATGAAGTGATAGAGCTAGCCGCAGGACCCTGAGTAGCTGAAAAGGAGGTAGAAAGTGCAAGGGAGAAAGCAGCCCCTTCCAATTCCCAAGGTTTTAGAGCCTGGAGCTCGGAGGCCATTTAGTCTAACTTGTGCCTGAGCAACAATAGAGCAGTAGGCCTGACCAGCAACCACCTTTGGGGATGTTAGCTAAAATGAAAGGCTGGGAGACATGAGGGGGAGGCTAGGAAGGAGGGCAGAGGCTCAGATTGGGGAAGCAAGTTGCCCCAAGGTCAACAGTTAGTAAGTGGCAGAGTCAAGAGTCAGATCCAAGGCTTCCCCTGCTCCATCCCAGGCTTTCCCCACTATCCCAGACTGAGGAGGAAGCTGGGATATTTCCTTGGGTAGTGGATGTCAAATCTGAGGTCTTCCTCTTGCCACCCAGGCAGCCTGAGATTCCAAAGCAAAGGGTGAAGGACAGGGAGGTGCTGGCTTGCCATGCCTGTAAAGGAGCAGGGAATAGGACTTTGCAGAGCAAGAAGGCGGAAACCAGCTACTTTTTAATGAAAATATAGATGGGTCAGGAAAGGATAAAGTCAGTGACAGAATGGCTTTCAGGTAGACTAGAGGATAGTGCCAGAGTTATTGGCTCCGTCTTGGTTGCCTAGGTGACATTTATCTTTTATAATTGGGTCAGCCCAATTAATAGATCTAGATCTGGAAAGGATCTCAGAGACCATCTTGTCCCACTCTCTTCTTTTTCAGTGAGGAAACTGAGGAAATTGGTAAGATTCTCTAGTGAAGGCTTATCTCAGCCCCAGTGCCATTCCTGACTTGTGGTGGTCCAGTCAAGGTCACCCAGTTAATCAGTCATTTTGCATTAAATGTCTAGTGTGTGCCAGGAACTATACTGGTGTTGGGACACACTAAGATAAAAGTCACACAGTTCTTGCCCTCAAGGAGCTTACATTCTAACATTTACATTTCTTCCATTAAATATAAATTTACCTTCCCTATGCCTCAGTTTTCCCATCTGTAAACCGGGGAGAATGATCTCTGTCTCTTCCCCTACCTCACGGAGATGGTATAAAGATAGAGGGGAAATAGAATGCTGGAGCCAGAAGAGAGTTTAGAGCTCATATGTTTGACAGAGTAGGAAACTGAGGCACAGTGAGAGAGAGAATGTTTTATATAAAACCTCACAGTGATAGAGCTAGCACCAAGACCCTGAGACCAGCACCGTTTTTAGGATATCTATCATGAGAGGAAAAGTGCTTGGGAAGTAAAGATGTTAAGAGGCAGCTATTTGTAGAGGTCTAAAAGCTGGACTCAGAGTCAGGAAGACCTAGGTTCAAATCCCACCAATGACACATGTTGTCAAGATCACTTCATCTCTCCATGTCTCAGCAAGAGCTAAGGGCTGGTCTGCCTCGGTAGAGGGGGATTTCTAATGGTGAATTCCTTCCACCAATAAAATCGGGGCCGGTCTGCCTTGGTAGAGGGGGATTTCTGATGGTGAATTCCTTCCACCAATAAAATCGGGGCTGGTCTAAAAAAAAAAGTATCAATAGGATCAATTGATCACAGTAGGCGGAGGCAAAGGACTAGGTCTCCTTTGGTCTCTCCCAGACAAAAGAATCCCTTCTCTTTTCTTCAGGCCTGTTGACACTCACCATTTTGGTTTATGGAACCGAACTCTACTGTGCTCAGAAAAAATAGAAACAAACAACCATTGGAAGTTAGAGATATTAACTCCCAGGGGATGCTCAGGAGTGAGCCTGAGACGCTTCTTGGTCTTCCCCTGCCCCTGGGGCCTCTCAGTGTGAGTGTCCTGGCACACAAAGGAGAATCCTCGCATCTCTTCTCTGTCACATCCCCAGCTAGTCTATTTCTGGTATCCTTGGTCACAGAGAAAGGCCCTGCTGTGACTTATGACCCATCTGGGTCTTCTCTTGTCCCCTTGGCAAGTGAGGGAGAAGGTCACCCTCTCCTGTCCCCAGATATGTGCTATCACATGTTTTCAAGAGTGTTTTTGTCCCTTAATCATCAGTTTTCCTGCCAACTGAATCTTTACCTGTTTTTGTCCCCTTTTTATTTGAGAAGTTCTCCATTTCCAACATTGCCCAGATCAATAGTTCAACTGAGTACTGTCTTAAAAAAAAACACCAAAAAACAAACATTGGTACTCATTTGTATTCTTAGGAACCCTCCCGACCTCACGACTATCCTTTTTAAAGAGATCCACACTCTTTTCCAGCTGTAGCTCTTAAAAGATACCACTCCATATTTTCTGGGCAATTAAGGGATTTTGAAGGATGAGTCTATGTTCCTTTGTACTCGTACACAAGTCATTTAACAAGTATTTACCCCTTTAAAGAATTCGCTGGGGGGCAGCTAAGTGGTGCAGTGGATGGAGCACCAGCCCTGGATTCAGGAGGACCTGAGTTCAAATCCGGCCTCAGACACATAACACTAGCTGTGTGACCCTGGGCAAGTCACTTAACCCCAATTGCCTAAAAACAAACAAACAAACCCAAAAAATAAATGTTTGGTTCTCTGGAAATCATGTTGTGTAATGGTGTGGTAGCAGCAAATAGTAATGGAGCCTGAGCATTTACTTACTCAGGGATTGGAACCTTGGGACAACAAGGGGGAGGGAAAGTTGTTGTTCTGAAACCAGCTTTGCCCCACTCCCAACAGTCATTTTTAACTGTGTTTGTGCCACCAAAACTGAAAAGGGTTGGGGGGAAGGACATAAGAGAGAGGAGGAGAGATGGGGGGGGAAAGAAAAGGGTAAATGGAGAGAGAAAAAGAGGAAAAGGGGGGAGAGGAAGTGAGGGAGGCAGTAAGGGAGATAGGAGAAAGAGAAGGAACAAGGGAAGAGAAGGAGAGGGAAGAAGAGGAGAAGGGAAAAAAGAAGGAAGAAAGGGAAAAGAGGAAGAGGAAATGGAGGAAGAAAGGATGAGGAGGAGAGGGAAAGAAAAGAGGAAAAGAAAGGAAGGAGAGTGAGAAGGGGA